CTAAATCGAACATAAACTATCTCATTATTCAAAAATCCAAGTTAAACAATCAGAAACTTACAGAATACACTAAAAATCAACATCTTAGATGATAACAAAATATGATCATCTGGAACAAGAAAATGACAATAAAATTATACACTTTTGCATCCCTTCAGCGCAAAGAAGCATAATTTTGATATTAAAAACCTTTAAGCATTAAGTAACTATTACCAAAAACTCAGAAAATAGCTATAACAAAAATTATTTTAAAAATAAAATTTCAATAATTAGCAAGCAAAAAGAATACCAGAATCAGGATTAATGAGATTGAAATCCAAATCAAATGGAGTTCCGGAGAATTTGAGGTAAACGTAAGCCGGTAAACAGTTAGGGCAAGAAGTGGGTAGTCCGAAACAGGATTTTCGGGTCACAAGTGTCAGTTTCTCTCTCTCCTTTGCTTCTTCCATTAGAGATGGAACAATTTATGAGAAAATCTCTGTATCAACAATGAAATGAAATTGGAATTTTTTTTGGTGAAAATAAAACCCTAGAGATTTTGGGGAGGCGTTTTGTGAATTAGGGAATAAGTAAGGACTGAAAATAGTAATTTCCAGGAATAGAAAGCCTCTAGCTTATAATTTACGTAAATATATATTTTTTCTAAAAATACTTTTCACTACTCTGAAAATACTGTTTCAAAAAATATTCTGAAAACAAATTATTTTTGAAAAAGTATTGAATGTTTGGTGTTTTATGCAAATTATTTTTATGGAATCGATAGGTAAAACATAATCAATTTTTAAAACCAGTTAAAAATAAAAGAGTTATGATAAAGAAAGATAATTAGCATTTGGCTAAATATATAAATAATCTCTTTTAACTTGTCTTAGTATTCTATTTAGCCACCTAAGTAAACTTATTAGGCCATCTCCAACCCTGTCCTCTATTTTACTCTCCAAATATAGAGTTTTCTATTTTTTCAGACAATCAATTTCAACCACATTCTCTATTTTACTCTCTAAAAAAGAATCTTCTTTTCTCTCCTCAATATTATATTATTATTTCTATTTCATTTGCATTTCCTTATTTCATAATATAAATCATTTCTCTTTTCTTTTTTTTTCAAATAATCACTTTATATAATTTTTACGTAATATAAAATTTTATTTTTTCAAATTCATTATTTAATATTAAGTTTTATTTTATTCTAAATAACATAAATTGCAAGTTATTAAATAATTCCTCCGTTTCACAAAGAATGACCTCCTTTCCTTTTTAGTCAGTTTAAAAAAGAATGACCTATTTCCTTTTTTGGTAACATTTTACTTTTTGCTTTCCACGTGGCATGTTTAAGACCACAAGATTAAGGGCAATTTTGTACATTTGACATAACATTAATTTAGGACTACAAGATTCAAAAGTCTTCTTTATTTACTTAAACTCCGTGCCAAGTCAAACCAGGTCATTCTTTGTGAAACGGAGGGAGTAATATACAAATTAATGGACAATTCAAATAAAAGTGAAATCATCAATGAAATACAATTACATAAAAATTACATAAATCAACAAGCGCAATCGCAATCACAACCACAACAATTCTCTGGATCATACACTAATTTTTTTCCAAATATTGTTAAATCTGGAAACGACCTACCGAATTACTGAATTATTGTTGCGATAAAATTATTATGTATTGTTATCTTATATTTAAATTATTATGTTATGTATTATATTTTTAAATTAAAATTTCCATCTTATCATTTTACTTATGTGCATTCGTCATAGTGAAAATTAATAATAATATCAAATTATATTAAAGTGATGAAAATTTAAAAAAAAAAAATATTATTAATTCGGGATGAAAGTAGTGTATATCAAATAATATATTTTTTAAAATGTCATATTACATTTAAAAAGAATTACGAATGTTAGATATTTAATTAATGACCTTATATTAAAAATAATATGTTAATTACAAAATAATAGAAATATAATAAAATAATGAAAAAGTGAAATAGAGAATGTGAATAGTAGTTCTCCAAATTTGGAAAACTATTATTCACCTCTCTATAAATGAAGAATAGAGAGTTAATTAAAGAGTGGTTGGAGAGCCCATTCGAGTAGTTGGAGAGTTCATTCTTTATTTTATTCTCCAAATATAGAGAATGGAGAGTAAAATAGGGGTGGATTGGAGATGATCTTACTCCTGTCCACTTTTGTTTGTCATAATTTCCTTTTTAGAGTCTATCTATCAAAATTTTGACTAACATTTTACAAAGTGTTTTTTCATTATATTGACATGCAAAAAATTGCAATTTATAGTTTGAATATCTAAATTTTTTGTTCAAAGTATCAAATTAATATAATCTAATTTAACTTTAAATTTAATCAAATTGACTTTTAAAAAGCATAATATAACATGAACAAAATGAGTATCAATTTGATGTCATTTTAGTAAAAATGCGACGGGGATTAACTGTGCGGTCTTAAAGAATGAAGCGTAGTGTGACAAGTCCACAAGGACAATCAACAGTTTAAAATTGTTGATACTTTTAGAGAGATTCAGCCATTTCTTTAATGAAAGTAACTCAAAACAAGAGCAAAAATGAGTTCAGAGAACCATGAAACACAATGTCACGAGACAACTAAACAGCAACTGATAATCCAATGTTTTATCAAAACTTTAGAACCAACAAAATGAAGCTAACAAAAGATGAAAGCAACAGAAAATTGTACTACTATATAGTAATGCCAATCTAATCAAAGAGTGAGAATCCCAAATCATCGTCACTCTCTTCTTTCTCTTCCTTCTTCTCCTCAGCTGGAGCTGCTTCTGCAGCTGCTGCACCACCGGAAGGAGCTGCTGCTCCACCACCAATGGAACCACCGCCGCCACCACCACCAATTATCACCTATACAATGTGCAAACAATGAGGATAAGAATCATGTTCACACAGTACACAACTTATCAAACAAGAGTAAACCCTCTATATTCAGAGAACCAACAATTCATAAAAAAATTTTACAAAATTCACAGGCAAATCGAAGGCCGTTAACACTCCCTTTTGGAATGTTCAAATTAACTTGTACCTTTAGGACAAGACTAAGTGTGCTTAATATACTACGATGAACGTGTTATGAGGTATCCGGCGTATGTTATCAGGCCAGAAGAAACCCTCTATAGATTCCACCATAGTGGGTCCGTGTTATTTCATTCCAAAATAAAGACTACAGTAAAATTAAGAAACAACATTCAAATATGAAACTGGGAAAATCAAACAAAGTTTGGTAAATCAATGCAGTTCGGGGATCTCAGACATCCAAGGAAGGATAAAAGCAGCATTATCTCTCAAGCCTGGCGAAGGCGAAAGATCTTAGGCGGCCACTGCGAATGTTTAGAGAAACAAGCCTTCAATTGTATCATCACAGAATCCCCCAATATAAACACTCAACCAGCAAACCAAAATTCGCAAACAATGTAACTAATCAAGTGATCAAATTCCAGTGTAGTCCCTTTTCTGTTCAAAATACTAAAACAACCAACCAAATAGCCAATGCGCTTCCTTTTCTTCTTATTCAAAATCACTAGTACCATAAAATTGCACATGAATCACAAAGAAGGAATCCATACACTATTTGATTCTCAGGTTAAATCAGACAGATAAACGAACTTATTCCATTGATAATTCAATCATCAGTCGCGCATCTCAAATACACTAGCTAAAATACTCAGATCCAAGAGATTCATAACGAAAAATAAAACAGATCCATTAAATTTTATACCTGGAAAACAGCGGAGGAAGGTGTAACAAAGGAGAAAGATGACTGAACACCACCAGAAGAGTCAGAAGCAAGAGCAGCTTGAACAAGCTTGCGTTGAAGATCATAGGTACAAGAAGCAGATGCTTCTAGATCACCCTTGTGTTGCTTAGCACTCCATTCATCTCCTGAACCTTTGCAAACGAAGGTGAAAACTCCCATTTTTGCTGCGGCTCTTCTCTTTCTCTCGAGCTTTTTCACTATAGGATGATAACAGAGGCGTTTGGAGTTGAGTGTAAATTGGGGGTTTTGTAGGAGGAGAAACCCTAGGGTTGTTTACTATATTTGAAAAGACCCATATGTCCTTCTGGGATGAAAATATTAACTATTCTATCCTCGTTAGTTTTCATCCGATATTTGGTCCGACACGAATTTTTTTGATCAAATAAACAAATTATAATTCTAATTATATTCTTTGTTATCACCGAAAATACAATAGATCGAAATTTTCTATTTGGAATAGGAACTTATATCTCTTCATATATTACTCTTTAATCTTTATTCTGAAAAACTTTACAAGACCCTCCGAGGTGGGGAGTAGTACGTATGGTTTCATCACGATTCACGATTTTTTTAGGTATTTAGGAGCCATTTGATAGGAAATAAGCTATTTTCTCAATTTTTCGTGTGTGTTAGCCCATAAATATTTTGGTGATATGACTTTCAGGTGTTTTTTTTTAAAAAAAAACTTTACAAATCCGTAATGAGTTGGGGAGCAGTATGTATGGCCTCACCACAATTCACGCTATTTTTTGGCATTTAGGCGCCATTTAAAAGAAAATAAGTGATTTTCTCCATTTTTTGTGTGTGTTAGCCCATTAATATTTTGGTCATATGGTTTTCGGGCAATTTTTTTGAAAAAACTTTACGAGACCCTCCGTAATGAGTTGGGAAGCAGTACTTATGGCCTCACCAGGATTCACGACATTTTTAGGAGGCATTTAACATGAAATAGATGATTTTCTCAGTTTTTTGTGTGTTAACCTATACAAATATTTTGATGATATGACTTCCAGGCTATTTTTTTGAATTTTTTTTACCATATACATGATTATGTGATATTAACTTGAGATGTGAGCAAACTAACCGAAACACAATGTGACATTAACTTGAGATCTGAGCGAACTAGTCCAAACATCACCATTATGAAAAAATACAAAAGAATAAAAAAGATGTGATATCATCATACTTCTATACTTCTAGTGTATTTGTTTGGACAACTCTTCTTTGCTTTTCAATTGATCAACTTTGAATTTGATCCAATTGGTAATTTCAAAGACAAAGAAGATGAAAGCAATAGAAGAAATAATAGCAATGTAGGTAGGTTTCCATGTCTCTTCTTCTTGCAATATTTTGATGCCTTTGAATATGTTGACACAAATCACAATCAACAATGCATAGCCAAGAGAAAGATGATATATACTCCAATATGTGTGAAGTTCATCATTCTTGTGGGGCTTTAATCTTAGTGCCAATGTCTGTATATACACATTAACCAATTGATTAATTAGTAGTGTACATTAAATTGTCATTGACATTATAATGAAAATAAACTAAAATCATAATTAAGTGATGGATTAATTCATGAATCATGGGATAAGAGTACATATTAATCATTCCTCGTCCGATCAATTTATGTGAAGGTATTTGAATAGAGGTAAAATTTAAGAGAAAGAAAAACCTATGAAACTTATGCATATATCAAACCGTAAAATTTATGCGACTTTAAATGGGAACTTTATGTGACTAACACTACTAAATTCAAAGGTTTTTTTCATTGTGAATCAGTGAAAAACTTGTTCTATAGAACATGATTTTCCTACTTATTTCCCATTGAATCTGCTCACTGAAAAATTGCATGGTGAAAAATAGATTCTCACTAAAATTATTTAGTAGAAACCTTCCTAAGTTTTCCGTACAAAAATAAAGTAAAAAAAATTTCTTTTCACACTGATTCAATCAAAATATCTATAAAATAGTCACAAAATATTTATCAATGGAAAAATAGTACTACTACAACTAAAAAGAAGGAGTGACACATAAATTGAGACAACAGAAATAACTATGATTAACAATAAAAGTATATCATATTTATTGCATAAAAAATGAGGGCAGAAAATCAAAAGGTTGTTAGAGACTAGAGAGTAGAGAGTTTTACTTGTAGGGTGGCAAATGTGAAGATGGAAATACCATAAGCTCCATGTTTGGGAAAAGAGTAATATTTGGAATAATTTCCAAGCCAAAGGCCAATTGCCCAACCAGTTGCACCAAAAATATATCCACATGCTTGGCATGCCTTATGAGCATGTTTCCATTGATCATGTTCATTCCAATGTATTGGTCCCTTTTTGAAATACCTAGCTATTATCACCCCAATAGGCAATATTACACCCCAACCTATAATGCTAAGTATTCCATGAGCCTGCAAATATAAAATTAATTACAAGTGTAAAATAAACTTTTTCTATTCAAGTGTAACTTATTACTTTCCAAAATATAGAATGTAGTTTCTCATAAGTGAAATTTGGGAGAGGAAAAAAAACATAATACATAAATATGTCCTTTAACTTGGCCTCGTATTTGTGGCCTCTAACTTTGGATGTGCACAAGTAGGCACTTAAACTTGTATAAAATTGAACAAGTAGATGCACGTGTACGTCCTACGTACGTGGCATAATACACATAGGATGCCACGCATGACACAAGTTGGTTACGTAGGACGCCACTTAGGACTCATATGTTTACTTGTTCAACTTTATACAAGTTTAAGTGTCTATTTATATATGCACAACCAAAGGGTTTAAAATATTGTGTTCTTATGAGTTTAGGGGTTCATTGGCAAATTGATAAGTAGGAGGGTCCAACTTACAAACGGAGCCAATTACAAGGGTCTCCCTAATCATTCCGCCTTACATAAAACCAATTCAACTCACATATCATGGTTAAGTAGCTTAATAAAGTTTATATATTATTAACTAATTAATCAGAGTTTAGTAAAAGAACTCTATACTCAAACACATAGTGTATGTATGTATTAGCTTAGTGTAAATATCTTATGTGAATAAGTTTTTACCTAGTTTGAAGGACATTACATGCATGCAATGAAAAATAATAATCAAAATTATTGATGGCTTAAAATAAATTTGCACTATCAGATCAGCTAAAAAATTACTATTAGACAATTACACAAGTTCATGAAAAATAAGGTGTAACCTCAGCTACCACATGCATGGTAAAATACAATATTAATAGGAGTGTAACATTATTTTATATTGTTACGTGTATATAAGTTAAATTCGAAAAAATATAGACATCACTTACAACTCTTGCTTGATGGCGTCTAGCAGATCTAATACTTAGAGATGTGCCAGTCTGCAAATCAATGATCTCTGTGCTATCATAATTTTTGAGTGTTTTTTCATGAAATTTGGGTTCCATTCCAATTGCAACTATTCCAACTTGCCAAACATGATTAATTCTTGAAATATCAACTGTTTGAGGAAGATATATAGTGGCTTCTATAATGTGATATTGAATATGTCCAAGAAAACCAAATGTCAAATTGCTTACATTTAAATCAATTGGAGTTGGTAAAAGATTGCACCCTATTTTAATATATTGTGTGACATTGTATGTGTTACCAAGAAATGAACCATTTGTTTGTTTGATGCCAATAAGTGCTTGAGTCCCTACCATTCTTGGTTCTGGTCCTAAGTTCAAACCCCAAGCTAACCATCCTGTTTCACCATCTAATCTTGCTCCCACCATTACCTGGAACAGAGGTAAATTCAGAATTTAAAGTCGTAAATTAATGGTAGAACCAAAAATTTTACCTAGGGGATTGAAAAGAATGCTAGAATATCATACTTGAAATTTAATTTGAACATGCAGCCTGACCCGACTTTTGAATCATTTCTACCATTATACTACAAACTTCCTCAAATTACCAAAAGGATTCAACAAATTTTAACAATAATATAACAAATTCACCCAATTTGGTGTAATTTTCTAACAAAGGGGTGTCCGATCGATTTATAGGATATTGACAAGAAAAAATTCTATCAATAATAAAGAACAAAAGGAAAAAAAAAACATAGTTGAAAAAAATGAATTTTGAAAGGAATGGGAAAATAGAGAATTCAAGAGGTCATGAGTATCAAAATAAAAATAAAGACAACTGCTACAAAGAAGAGCTTCCAATTTTCTGCATGTATATATGTATCGAATCGAAAGCAATAAGTTTAGTTGAACTCATAAATTAACTAGCTCTAGATCTGCCTCTGACCTGGAGAGTTTGAGTCGTCGTGTTTTCGACTTTCCATCCAAATTCAACTCCATTCCTATGTTTGTATCTCTTGCATAATGTTAGATTTCTACTAAGGGTTTCAGATAAGAAATTCTCAGTGCAACGATGGGCATGAATTGTCAATGAAAATAAAGATAAAAGAAAGATTGAGTTTGAGACAAAAAATATTAAACAAGATGAAGACATCTTCACTTTCTTTTTTATTTCTTTAATTTATTGCTTCTTTTTTTTTCATGTTTCAACCTCAATATATATAAGAACTAAGTTAAAAGAGGGAAAGAAAAATAAAATTAACTTGAGCATGCATGATATTTTCCATGGAGTGAGAAAATTGGAGTTTAAAAGAAGTAATGTATATGTTCTGTTCTCTTTATTCATGTTTTTTCTCACTTTTTGTTGGATAAAGTCTGAGGTTCTTTTTTGGGAACAAAGTGTGATAGGGTAGCAATAAGGGTCGTGGTGGAGCGATAATTCTTTATTGGTAATTAGACGTCTCGAATTTGAATTTTACTATGTATGAAGTCTTCTTTATTAATTAAGGATCATTTTATCCCCAACATTATCACAAAAATAACTTTTAGCGGTAATATATATGCACATTAATAATGAATGTTAAAGTCTTTGCCGGCATTAGTTAATTGTTCTTGGATTCAATGTCGCTATAGACTTTAGGGACATTTACCAAAAATGTTAATTGTCACTAAAAAACACATGTAACGGCAATTAAGCTATATTGACGTTAATTAATTTCTGTTGTAAATCATTTTTGGTGTAGTAATTATTTCCCACATGAATTAGAATTTAATCGCATTTCGATACGATCACGAACCCTAAGTTGGAAATCGAAAAAAAAAAAAAGAGAGAAAAAGCGTGGGAAGGCAAAAGCAGTGTTTCAATTACTCTTCTAAGGTTTTACACTTTACTTGTCTTTCAATTGTTGCTTTTCTTGTTTAAAATGCTTTTACTAAAGTGAGAACCAACCAGATGTAGCAATGTGCTTCACGTATGTAAAGTGTATGGGAAGGAATTACACTCCAAGGACAAACACACTTAAAAAAAAAATAGATAGGCGGAAAGGCTTTACACAAGATCACAGGGTGAGAGAGAGCCTTTGCTTACATGCTTAACCGTACCCTCCTATCGTACTTATATTGTCTTTCCTTCAGTTATATCCGGTTTCTTTCTTATCCGAAAGCAAGAAAGATAACAAGGGAGGGTTTAGGCAACTCGCTGGTTTCGAGATGGGTTTCCTTGCGGGTGTGTCCACTTGTTTTCCTATTCAAGTTTTGGTTCCAATTTCAGAAAGTTCAGATGAAATAATAAAATAGGCATAATACATAAATATGCTCTTTAATTTTACTTCAGTGAATTTTTATATCCTTCAACTTTCAGTGTGTACAAGTAGATACTTAAATTTATATAAAATTGAACAAATCGACACACATGTTCTACCTGACATAATACACGTAGGACACCACATAGGATACAAAATTGTTATGTAGGATGTTATGTAGGACGATTGAGTCTATTTGTTCAATTTTATATAGGTTTAAGTGTCTACTTGTGCACACTCAAAGTTGAAGGGGTATAAATGCTAGCTGAAACAAAGTTAAAGAGCATATTTATGTATAAATTCCCCTTTAAACTTGTTTTTTAAAGGGAAAATTGTATGAAATAGCAAACTATTAATTCAAATTAAATGTTATAGTCATAGTTTATTTTATTTGTAATTCGCAGTAAACATCCCATTTTTTTGCCATATGGTTCGGTATACAATTAGTCATTTTCGGTATACAATTAGTCATTTTCGGTATACAATTACCTATTCGGTATACAAATGTATAAAATGTGTTTGTGTTTGTATAAAGCGATAGAAAATTGTATATACAAATACAAATACATATATTTTCATCCTATACACTTATAATTATACAAATACAAATCTTATTATACAAATTACAATGTATAAATGAATTTATACAAAACTGAACAATTTGTATATAATTGGATGTATCTAGCGAATTATACAAATCAAAAGTTCCATAGCAAACATAAAATTTGTTATGGAGCGCAATTATGCAAACTATAGTTATAACATACAAATATGATTTTTATGTTTGTTATATGTGAAAGTTGCTCTTTTTCTAAGGTATATATCTTCTTCTTTTTTTTAAAAAAAAAAGGACAAATATGCCCCCGAACTATTGTAAATGGTATGCAGATACTATCCTCCGTCATACTTTTGGGACATTGGTGCTCCTGCCGTCCAAAAACTAGGGCATATATGCTCTTCACTCTAACAGAAGACTAAATAGGGACACGTGGCGCAATCTTATCCGTCGATCTGATATTTAATAAATATTGGGTCGGTGAATAAGATTATGACACATGTATATATGTCTGTTAGTATAAAGGGTATATATGCTCTAGTTTTTGGACGACAGGGACAATATGACAAAGGGTATCTGCATACCATTTACGATGGTTCGAGAGTATATTTGTCCTTTTTCCCAAAAAAAGAAGATAATAGGCATAAATTCTCTCTAAACTTATGCCTTCTTAACTATTAGATCAAAAGTGAATTTAATACCACTCAGTTTCATTGATATGTTCCTATCTCTTGCGGTGGATGTGGCAACAACATATTCTAGGAAGGGAATGATTATTTTCTTCCTTTTCTCAAAGTTATTCTCCCAAATGTTACAAATTTTACTGTTTCAACTTGTAAGTTACTAGTCATAAAGCAACCTCTTGGTTGATAATACAATTAGTGTATGGAAGAAGCTTATAAGATGCATTTTCTTTTTTGGGAAAGGGTCAAAATTATTGGTATTATTGGTAATCTGAGCCACTTTTGTAACGAGGACCCTCCAATAACCCAACAAAAGAAAATGATTCCATTAAATCCACCAAAAGCTAGAGGGCAAAAGTATTTTTGATACCCAAATCAAATATAAGATAAAATTGAACTATTTTCAATAGTTCAAGGACATTTTGGCCATTGTTTTGCCATGTTAATTGTTATGTCAATGATCTAAATGACTCATGTGGATAATCAATAGTTCAGAAGATATGTAGTCCGAAAAATAAATGGAAAATATATTTTTGATACCAAAAGCAAACAAAAGATAAATGGAAGTTATTTCGAATTATTCAAGAATATTCCTGGCTCTTTGTTATTTTTTTTTAATCTTCTATTAAGGATGCATAGGTAAGTGTTAAATTTATATCAAGGTAGACAAGAGCAAAGGTCAAATTTCTTTTTATGATCATTCATCTTAATATTGAGTTGCTATAAATCGCATCTTACTCCAAAAAAATGTGCAATAAAAGTGATTTGAAAATCACTAGGTAGCCATAAACTCTTTTCAAGCAATGCCCAAAAATCTCATGTCTTTCTTGAACGGACCACTCAATCGGTGAATAACTGGATGTCTTATATTTTTAGTATTATATCTTTTGAACATTTCTTGGAATCAAGAGTCTATTGAAAATAGCATCCCTATATATATTAACATCTATTGAAAATAACGTCCCTACAAAATACCGCTTTTCAACATTCTTTCAAATAGTCCATGTTAACATCTTTTACATAATATCCAACCCCTATAGCCTCATATGTCACAAGACAGCCAAAGAATCATCTTCCAAGTATGTCCCTTCTGTAAGAATTAAAAATCTTATAACATGGACTTGCTGAAAAAATCCCATTAGCGTTTGCCTTCAACTTATGATGCTCGGACTCTTTAAAAATGTTGATAGATGTGTGGCAAGTCCTTCAAAAACAGTGCAATTTTTGAGGATTTGATACGGATACAACAACATTTTAGGAGAGTCCAAACAAATATACCCAATTTATAATATCCGATACAGGGTTTGGATTAGTTTTTAACTAGTGAAATTGTAATTTTTTAAGGAGGTTTTGGATTCGAGTTTTAGTATCGGAGAAAATTTTGTTGAAAGCTAATTAGTCGGGAGTTTCAATGTTGATATCAGACATTGGATGAAAAATAAAAAAAAATAAAAACAATTATTTCGTGGTGCGATCACAATATCAGTATATTAATGTTACAATTGATATTGCTATAACTTTCTTATCTATATGTATATAATTTTACTTTTATACTAAATAAAAGCTATAATATTTTTTTTTTATTAAAAGTAGATTCTGAAGAAATGGATTTTTCATTATCACATGCTTAGAAAATAGATGAATTGAAAAGTATACGGATAAATATTATTTTTAAATATTTATTTATTTAGAAATTATTTTAAATTCTAGTATGTGTTGTTTGTACTGATATTATTCTTGTTATACCACTTGGCATAGGCTGATTGCAGGGTCACTGTTGTTTTTTAGGTGAAGACGAAGATGAACTCTGACATGTTCTACCTCTCTTTCCTTATGGTGGGAGTCGTGTCTTATTATATTAAATCTAGCAATCTCTTAAAGGCAGTGGTGGAGCCAGAATTTTCATCAAGGATATTCATATTTAGGACAAGTAAAAAAAATAAACCTTGTTAGTGAGATTATAAAGATTGGAACGTCACTTTTATTGTCTTAAAAAATGAAACTAAAAAAAATTAAACAAAACGTCTTAGTCTGGGTTAGAACCTAGGCCCTTGAGGCGACTTTGCTCTCTAAAAAACGAAACTAAAAAAATTAAACAAAACATCTTAGCTTGGGCTTGAACCCAAAGCCCTTGAAATGATTTTAAACAACCTTAACCATTGAGTTATCTTTCTTTAGAATGTCAAGATTGTTCAACAATTAGTATATATCGAAAAATATTGATATTTAACATATATACTCGCAAAAATATTCCGACGAAAGTTGTTCATCTGACCACCCATGCTAAGGTGTAGCTCCGCCCCTGCTTAGAAGCTCTTGTACCTGTTAAGATAGTTCTTTAGAAGGTTTCAATATATTCTTTATAAAAACACTTTATTTTGATAAGTTTGAGTGTTTCGGTATTTAAATAGGGTATTTAATTAGCTTGTATTTTGTTCACTTCCACATTTCATGTTATAGAGTAGACGCTCATATGGCCTGATGATTGGGTCGTGACAATTTCAGTTTTTTCTCTCTGTTTTTTTGTTTTTCCTTCTCACTTTACAAAAAAAAAAATCAAATTCCTTTATCCACGATTAGAGGAGAGCAAAGTAGATTCCTATATTATTATATTATAAGAGGCT